TGTGTGTGTGTGTGTGTGTTTGTGTATGTATGTGTGTGTGATTGAGAGAGAGCAACGACTGCGGGCGAAAACAGGCTAATCCAAACCACCCACATTCAGGGCAATCTAGCCGAGCAGACCTGCTCCAGCAAGGATTGCAGATGCCATTAAGTAGTGCTGTCCGATAATAGTGGATTATGCATTGGTGTCAACGCATTGGTCGCAAATAAGCCCACGGCTCAAACTCATAGGAGAGTTTTAATAGTTTTGCGGGAATATCTTCTTCCCAGTCTGCTTCTGCCGGCACGCAGTACAACTAGAACGTGTGCGTGTGTGCATACGTGTGTTTGTGAGCAAATGAATGTGTGCGTTCGTGGGTAGACACATCAAATAGCTCGTGCTTGCCCACCCTCCGGCGTGCATGTGGTGCGTGCAACAACTGAACGTGACAATTGGGGTGTTAATCCGTACTGAGACAAATGGAGACGATCCAGTTACGCCGATGTCGACAGGTTGGAAAGGGGTACAATCAAGCCGGGTGAGAAGTGAATTCGACTTTTCGGATCTCCAAATCCTCCGAATGGAACATGTTATGGGCTAACAAAAGCAGGCCGAGGAGAGAAACATTTGCATAAAAAGAAAAATTAGGGGGATTTGTTGCAAACAAAATCATGGTGAATACGGAGGTGTACAAAATGGATGAACATCGCCCATCCACAAAGCAATCCTCCAATTCGTTTCTCCAACGGCATGAACACGTCTTTACTGAAAGGTTAGACGGACTAGCAAAAATCGATTAATTCTTCATCTTTATCTTCCCCAATTTCAAGAGCCATGCGAGCTGAAGTTTCCAACGACTCGACTACATGCCCAAATTCCAAATTATTTGGTCTCAGGTGAGAAATTAGCAAACATGCCACCAGCTCGAGGGGATTGAACTTTGGCCAAATGGCGGTGGACTTTGGAAATAATAAAACTTTCCTACAAAATTGCCGTTCATGTTCTCTCCTCCAATTTTTATGCAGATTTTTGCCTCACCTCTTGAGCCCAATATATGTTGATTCTTTTGAGATCGCCATGCTCAGCGTCGACGCCAACATTATCATGAACATCGCTAAAACACTGGGTTATACACCCTCATACCAGGACCATTCTAAACCCTATGGTGTACTATACCAAACGTGCGTTGCTATAAGGGTCGAACATAAACCGTAAACTTCATGGGTCATACCGTATCTCAACCATCATTGCCT